AGTGTTTGCAAATAAATAGGGGCTTACTGGAATAAAAACATAATACAGATGCTGATTCTGTTAAATAAACCTGGGCCACCAACTGTGTTTATGTTGATTAGTGTTACTGTGTGTACTGTACCATCCTTCTGCTCAACCCGTTTTGTTCTTATGTGAAGAATATTGGAACACAATATATGAGATTACTTTTTTACAAATGCTGGTAGATAAGACCCTTGTACATGATAACATTTAGAATATTTTCAAGTTAGAGGCAGAATTAAAAACTTAAAATGTATAAGAAAAGAGTATTTCATAAATAAAGAAAAATTTAAACAGCAACTTAATTATATCCCATAAAATACTAAAGTGTCACTTCTCTCAGTGCTAATGTTATGATGTATAGATCTAGCAGGCTATGAAATTAGAATAATTTGAATAATGCTTGGAGAGGCAATAAGTTATAATTTTCCCTTATAATTATAACTAAAGTTAAAATTAAATTTTCAATAACCTTAACTGTTAGTCTCTTAGGAAATGACTACTCTTAGACATTTTAATATTTAATATTACATGATTTCAGATTTCCTATTATAATATTATTCTTCATATTTTCTTTTAAAAATGTCCTCATTCTTTATCCTGCTTAAGCCTCGCACTATTTTGTCAGGTGACTAGAGTAGAAAATACGTTATAAGTGAAGAAAATGAAGCGCAGAGAGGCAAATCGTGCCTACCCCAGTAATCTTTTCATTTTATGACATGCCAGGAATGGTGCTGTTCATGTCTTTATTATCAATTTTTATAATATAATGTTTTATGTAATATATAGATCCTGTATTACAGGATCTTTTACTATAAGGTATTCCCTTTAAATCTGGGAATGGCCATTTGGTAACCATCAGTCTTGTATATACAATACTTGTCCATGGAACTTCTTTTGTACAATGAACCAAAGAGACTTACTCCATTTTAGGACCAGAGAAAGACAGAAAATTTGATACCCCCTTTCACATTTCATATTCAGTAAAGCATACACAAAGTAAGAGGAAATATACATAGGGGAATCTTTCTCTTATTATCAGGTTTAGAGGCCGAGTTCCAATGTTTTGCTATAATTTTTATAGATCATGAAGTCAAAACTAAATAGATTATAAGCATAGCATTTTTATCAAGAAAAATAACAAGCAAACCCCAAATTTCTTAAATTTGCACAATTTGCTTCTTTCTTTTTTTAAAAAAATATGCTGAATAAATGTAAATTATATGTAAATATAGAAAGTAGACTCTTATAATAACTTTTAAACTGTCATTTTATGTAAATTTTGAATTTGTTACCAGTCTGGGTAGGCTGTAATAAGGCAACAACATTTGTGTTGTTTAATAATGCAAAGTCAGCTGCCATTAATTTAAAGAGCTTCTGCCTCAGTAAATTGTACTTTGATGTTTTTATTTTGAGACAAATGTTTATGAAATATTCTGATTACCTTTGTATTTAATAGCTGTTCTCCCCAAATATCTGTCAAAACTATGTTAGTTATTCACATCAACAAATTTATACTTCAGGTGATGTTATTTTAAATGTAACAAATGATATGGAAATATTTTTGGTTTGATATATTTACTGTACAGATAGCAATGAATTAACCAGCTTCTTATTTTCCTGTGTAGTGTAAATAAAGCAAATATGTATACGGTGTTAGTCCTATACTTACTTTGAATATCTTTCAATTGTGCACGTGTCTTTGTTATGCCTTTTAGAATTTTTACTCTGGTTTTTCCATGTCACTTTATGCTAATATGTTATTTCTTCTCTGATAATTTTTTAATGTATGCTGTCTATTCTAAAATAAACAACTCTTTCTGTGCAGACTAGATGGCGTTTTCAAGGCTTAACGACTGATGACTTATTTCGTATAATTGCCTTTTTTGAGAATCTGACATTTTTTTTCTATAGCTCAATATTAATAACTTGTGTTCTCCAAGATGGTTTACAAGCATTATCATACTTTGTCCTCATAATAAATCTTTAGGTTTGGCACTGTTATTCTCATTTTATAGATGGGAAAACTGAGGTTTAGAAAAGCTCCCAAAGTGAATAGACCAAGGCCAGCTCTTAGCCACTGTAATATATTGTATCGCAGGATGATTTCTGTTTCAGCAGTATTGGCTCCTCGAAAGTGCTGAAGTAGGGTAAATTCAGAGCTGCACTATTTGGCAACCTGGTGCTGTACAGACATTACGACAGGACAGTACAACTTGAAGAAATAATTGTCAAGGGTCCAGCAGAGTAGTTGGCAGATTTAGGTGTAGCGGTTCAAATTTTAGCCACCTGGCTTGCTTCCAATTTTCATTTGTTTGCACTTTTAATTCTGAATTGGAGGCCGAGTGCTGATATATATGGGAACATTACGTAAGTCATGTATTTCATGTTAAAGCTCCTTTACACAAAAGAAACTCTGTGTTAATGGGATCTTCTTTTCTTCTTCTTTTTTAATGCAGTGGGATGCATTCTACTCTTCTCTTGAAGTTCACCCCTGTGGCTTGGATTTATTATAGTAGCATCTGTCTTCGATCTATGTGTTAACTAGAAATCCAGGAAAGACATGAGGAGGTTTGTTTACTGCAAGGTGGTTCTAGCCACTTCGCTGATGTGGGTTCTGGTTGATGTGTTCCTACTCCTGTACTTCAGTGAATGCAACAAGTGTGATGACAAGAAGGAGAGATCCCTGCTACCTGCCCTCAGGGGTAAGTGCTTATGAAGCAAATGTTACTTTTAAACAGATGAGAAGGGTGGTGACTCATGACAAAACTCGAAACTTCAACATACGGCATGGTTAAACTTTTTGAGTTAGAAGAGCATTTTGGCCGAACTATTCATGTACACTTATCCATGGGAAAGCTACTCTGCTTTTCTTGGCTTCAGTATGTTGTAGGAAGAAAGGAGAAGAGTGAGCTAACCTCTAAGGTACCTTCCAATTCTAAAATTCCTACGTGTTGTAACTGTATGGAAAAAATAATTTAGAGAATATTCAAATTGGACAGGATTTTAAACTGAAGCTTGCAGAAGCAAAAGCCCTTAGGGACGAAGCACATAACGTACAGAGGAAAACTTCCTAAAGTCAGATGGGGGACAGTGTAGCAAAATATAATTGCACATGATTCCCCCAAAGACCCACCCAATATACAACCAGCAAACAAACAAACAAACACTTTTTTAAACGAAACAGATGGTGGCTAAATTCAGCCTGTGGGCCATTAGACTGCTGCTGTATGTTAAGGACAAAAGATAATTTCAAGTATATTATAAAGTCACTTTAACTCAATATTTACCTCTTTAGGGACCAGTTTCAATGACTAGATAAGAGTGAATTCTAAAGAAACAAATATGTTTAAATGGGGGTTCATTAAGTGAAGTTATAGAGATTTCTTTCCTATAGTTAGTTATTCCAAATAATTTTCTCTATGCTTTTTGTTGACTTCTGGATCTGTAAGTAGACTTTTGAAATATTCCTAGTAAATGAGTGCTTGTAAACTACTTAAAAATGCTTAAAATTAGTTTTAGTCTCATTGAATTAAACATTTTTTTTCTTGAAATCTAGTTTACATTAATTATTTGTTTAACAAAATCTTTCTTCATAAATATAACAAAAGATCAACTTTGAGTCCCAGTTGAAAGGTTTGTACCTTTGGGAAGAGTGACTCTAAATTACTGACTTGAGATTTGCATTTATATAATGAATGTAATCTGCTTTTAGTGTTACAGATATTTTTTAAGTTATTTATTAATCAAAATATGGTACTAAACAGAATTTCATTGATACTATCTGGTTGTATGGGATTTAGGGAAACAGAAGAGCATTTCCAAAAATTAATTTTTGTTAAAAGATTGTTTTGGATATATTGAGTTTGCTTTAGATTTCAATCATGCTCTTGCTCAATTTGAGAAATTCTGATTATATTCCAGTTTCAAAACTTTCTCACTGTAGTTTTGACTAGTTCAAAGAATAGAAAAAATACTTTGGAAGTGACTGAGCTGAGACCCATTTAGGTAGTGTGTGTGAATTTTTTATATCTTTATACTGTAACTATTCAAAGAGAAGAACATTATGAATCCATCAGCTTTTAATAAATGAACATGGAGGTAGATTTGCTGATCTTTGGTTAAAATCCCAGAATAAATCAGTCGTCTCTTCTTTGTTAGAATCAGTTGAGCTGCTTCTTAGCTGACAGTGGAAATGTGTTTTGATGGATCACATCAGTTTGGAATGATCAATTTGTCATTTGTTGAATGGAGACATCTAGATTGGTCACACACACCCACAAAAATGTTATAATCTGATTCAGCAAAATTGCAACAGCCTTTTTTTCTATAAGTAACAAAAATAGTACAGTTTTACTGATTTAAGTCCTTGATGCTCAGTCTTAAATCTAAAAATGTAAAATTTAATGATGCAAGGCAAAAATAGTAATTTGTCCTTGGACTTAAATTGTAAATTAAACTATATTGTCTTTATTTTTAAGACCTGCTTAATATTATACATTAATGTTTGCCTTGAATAAGTAAAATAGACTTTAGAGTTTAAATTATATTTTCTATCTCTACTTATTATGTCAGAATATTACTTCATTTAGGAATTTGTGCCATGTATTTAAAATATATTTTATTTACAGGCAGATGATGCTGTGCAAAATTCACTTGACTGAAATGTTCGTATTCTAAATATACTAAAGACAGGCCTTTTGACTTAAAAAAAAAATAGTTGATCTTTCTGGACCTTTGTGTCCATTATTAAAACACAGGGTTTTGACTGAGTGGTTTCTAAGATCACTTCTAGTTTTAAATCTTAAACAACTTTTAATGCTTAATATTAGCATATATCTGAATTAATTTTTGAGAACTGTTCATTAATTTATTCATTGAATTATCAATTACTTAAGTGCCAATCAAAGCAACACATTGTATACCTTAAAGTTACACGATGTTATGCATCAATTGTATCTCAATTAAAAAAGAAAGGAAAATAGCCCAGTAATGGGCAAAGAAAAACAAATCCTAAGCATAAGCATCAAGACACTTGAGTCACAGCTGGTATAACAAGGGGACTACAAAGTTAAAATTCCAGGCTTTGTTGAGCAACCTGGTTCTTGCCTCTGACCCCCTGAACTTGATGTATGACTTCTGGCAAATTCCTGAACAAAACCTTAATGTTCTCACTTAAAATGAGAGCCTTAGAGGCAAATAGTTCCTGCTTCACAGGGTTGCTTAAGAATTAAATGAGACCATGTGCACAAATCCCTCAATGGACTATTGGCTCACAGTAATCCTTTATCAATATCTGTTCAATGTTGAGAATGTGCCTGAAAGGTTTGAATGAGGCCCCACCAGGCTTTGCTGTCCAGGGTGAATGGGGTCCATGGCAGGGGGCAAAGAGGAGGGGTTATTCTGGGTGAGATCTCAAAGGAGGAAGTAACTCTTAAAAATTTTATTTGTTAAGTGACTTATGTAGTAAGATCTGGATAAGGAAACTGAGGTAACTACTGTCATGAGCTTATAGTCAATAACAAAGTAAACCTCTCTCTCTCTCTCTCTCTCTCTCTCTCTCTCTCTCTCTCTCTCTCTCTCTGTCTTTGTAAGAATGTAATTTAGAAATTATTACAAGTAAACAGGTATTAGAATGAGGAGAGGGATGCTCTGAGTAGAGGACAATGGATCTAGGGTATTAAATAAAATTTCACAGAGGCTGTGGCATTTAAGCTGAAATCTAAAACATTAAAGTAGGAAATAGCTAGTTAAAGAAGAAAATACTAACGTTTTTATGAAACGATAAAATTACAGGATACCCAGGACACTTCTGCAGGAGAAAACTATAGAGGTCTTACAAAATTAGAGTAATTAAGACTCTAGTGTTAGCATAAATGGACACAAAGGGTAGACAGATTGCCCAAGGAAGCAGAACACAGACCCTAGTAGACTCACACATGTTTGGAACATTCAGTATATGACAGAGGGAGCACTGCACATCAGTGGGGGAAAGAAAGGGCTCAATAAATGGAGCTGAAAATAAAACAGTAATCCATGTGGAAAACAGATAAAATGGGATGTCTATCTCATGTCACAAACCAAGATAAACTTTGGATGTATTAATGTCAAAAAAGAAATCAAAACTTGTAGCAAGCACACAATATGATATACAGATGATGTATTACAGAGTTGTATGCTTGAAACCTATGTAACTTTACTAAACATTGTCACCCCAATAAACTTTAATAAAAAAATTTAGGCATCTGTAAGGCCTTGAATTAAAGAAAAATTCTAAAACACTACAGAGGAAAATTTGAACATAAAAGAAAGTATTGGTACATTTTACTGTATTAAAATCGAGAAAGTTGGTTCATTCTAATATAACTTAAAGAAAGAAAAAAGAGAAATTACAAACTGTAGATCTTTAATAAATATGCAACTGAAGATTATTGTCAAATGTATAACAATAGCTTCTATTATTAATAAGAAAAGCCCAAATAGTTCAATAGGAAAAAATGACAACAGATGTGAATAAACACTTCTTAGAAAAGAGAACACACATAGTAAAGGAAATTATGAAGAAATATTTAACATCAGTTGTGATCAGGGAAATGCCGACTGAGGCTCTAATTATATATTTATATCCATTCATTTGACAAAAATTAAAAAGGCTGAAAATACCAATTGTTAGAGATGATGCATCTCCACATTTTTGTAATAACTTCAGACAGCAGTTAGTTTGGCATTATTTCTGAAATCTGAACATTTGTTCAGAACTCAACGCTCAAGACAGTGTCTCCACCTATACAAATATTTCATAGCACTACTGTTCATAAAAATAAAAGCAGAAAACAATCCATAGGCCCATCAATAGAAGCCTTGATGAATGAATAGTGATATATCAACGTAAGGGATTTGCATATAGGGGTCAAAATGAATGAAGTATAGCAACTTGCACTGGTATGAATTAATATTGATGTTATAATAGTAGGTTAAGTATAAAAGTTATGTCCCTCAAAGATGACATACAACATGGTACAGTTTTAAAAGCTAAAAGTGACTAACATTTACAAACATACATTTTGGGAATATATAGCAATGCAACAAGACTTTATATAAAACAAGCAAGTCTAATTATGAATATGGGATTTAAGATCCTGATTGTCATGTGTGGAGGGAGATAGGACTACGGGATGGATGTAAACATTTTTGCTGAATGTGGGTCAATACTAGGGGCCTAGATTTGCTTTTATATGTGGGTTTGATGTGTCTATTATATAATATGGGTAACTAAAAGAATGAATAATAGCCACTGAATGGATTTAAAAATTGGGAAGCCACAAAATGGGTTTAAAAGACAGAGCAAACACGCTCACACTTGCCTTATGGAAAGATGACTATGGATTCAATGAGAATGGATTGAATTCAGGGAGGCTGGGCAGGAAGCCGTGACAGCATTTCTTGAATTCTGTATGGGAGGAAGTGATGCCTCTTTAAGCAGAGAAGTGGCAGTGAGGTATGAAAGGAGTGGGTAAAATAAGGAGGTATTGGAGATACGGGAGGAAGAGAGCTGGATGTTTGACTGTCTCTGACAGGTGTAGGAGACGGAAGTGTCAAGGACAAGTCTTGGGTTTCTTACCGGGCATTATTTGACTCAATCAAGTTCCTGAAAGAGGAGAGTGTGTAGGAGGAGATGATAGGTGGGTAGACACTGAGTTTATTT